AGTAAATACTATTCTCGAAAACCACTGATGTATAGCCATCTAAGTATTATTCACTTGGTGATAGCTGATAAGTTTTATGTTACTCAAATTAATTTATTTATTATCAGCTATAAAACGTGGTACAAAAAATATATGAAAGTGAAGCCAAAATGAAGTAGAACTAGGGAAAATCAACTTGCCGAAGTTAAGAATTCAATATTTGCCATTTTTTTTTTATAGTTACGCTATCTAATTGTCTACCAGGGCCCCAAAATTTTATCTGCACTTTGGCCAAATTCCTAGTTGCTGCACTGTTTATCGGGTGCTTACTGACTAGTGACTACATTGATATTGTTATACCTAAACAATTTTTTTTTCACATTTGGTGAATACTTAGAAATTCAAAATACTAATTACATATAATATGGTGATGATGCTGTAATAGTGCCTTGGTTAAAATTTAAACTCTGTTAATAGGTCCAAGATTTATATCTGTATACAATATTTAAATTTAAAAAAAATAATAATTTCGTACCAACAATTTTAAATTATGATATTAAATAATAAAAAGTGAGAAAAAGTATTTCATCTTAGATAAAACTGAAATGTTAGTTCAGAAATAAATTTTTTCTTTTAATTAGAATAAGTAGATATATTGAATATAGCTAATTGCTACGCCATGTAATTAACCATGTTATAATATTTTATCATTTAAAATTGCCTATTATAAATTTATAATAAGTACATTAATACAGAATATTTCAATTTTAAAAACAAATTTATTGTAACAAATTACAGTTATTTATTAAATTTAGTGTTGCTGCAAACTATCATGATCACATTTAATATTTCAGGAGACAGTGAAGTTCTTAAATCTGAAAGTATGAACTTCAATCCCRAAAAACTTCTTTCAACACTGACCTGTAAAATATTTAAAACATCAGTAACAAGAAAAATTGTATAATATAAATGTTACTGATAACATATTATGTAATTAATTTATGATGTTCACAAAACATTACGAACTTGAGTGGCAGGCACAGCATGTACGATGCAAGATAGCTTGTAGAGTTCAGGTTTGATTAACTTTTGTGTTTTCCAGTAGTTCATAATATTTGATGTATATGGCTCACGGTTAACATTTTTAAAAAATCGTTTAAAAGTGATTTTATATTAATTGTATTTACTGTATCACTATGTACAGTGGATGTAGATGATTGTGAACATAAAAACACACCTCAAATTCATCTTCGTCACTAACATCATCATCAATTTCAATCTCAACAACATTGTTCACTAAACAAAATAATATTAAATCACATTAAGGCCATCATTAGGTACCTACTAGAATATTATTCTTTATAGAATTAACATTAAATTATTTTTACCCGGATATGAGTCATTAAAATTAATCTCATCATCTAAATCATCATCAGATTTACTTAGTTGGAGCAAAGCATTCCAAGTTAACACTAAATGGTTTATTCCATTGTATATTTCATGCTCGTTCAATAAACATTGATACCTTGGATCAAGGAATATTGCTAAAATGAAAAAAAAAATATTTATTAAGTATCCACTACCCAGACATCAAAAACAATTAAAAAAATTTATTAAAAATGAGTTATCAGTGGGCATTGTTGATACTGATTTATGGGCATGCGCATTTGTATCATATTATTTTTTGTTTAAAAAGGAGTTCTGTGATTAAGTGTTTCATGAGGGGTATGTGTCCTAAAATTTTTAAGAACTGCTTATATAGATAATATTACTGCTCAGACAATAGAATTAGTTTTACTTCATAATGTTTAATTATTAGTGTAACAATTACAATTTACAAAACACTTGTATTTATTTTTATTAAATATAAATTACCTGCTAAGAAAACATCATTCTTTAACAACATGGCCTGACGTTCGACCATAGCCTTAAGCAGTGGCGTAACTAACAGCAAATATTTGGGGTAACGAACACTTTTAAATACTTCACCTTCTCCAATAAGCATAATGAGTGATGAGTACCACTTATACGCATAATTTCCTCCTAAATTATTTTAAAATAATAATTATACTTATATATTATTA